TATATATATATATATAATATTCTCATATATATAATATTTTAGCATATATATATATATATTTATAGAGCTTATTCACAAGTAGTTCCCTGATATTGCTGAGATGATCGAGGTTGTAAATAGTACATGTGCAGCAGCGAAGAAGAAGTGGCTAGCAAGCCTTCCCCTGCGAAGTAGTTCTGAATTTATACCAAAAAGAAAAAGTAATCTTTCATAATAAACTACAGAATTTATGTAATTGTTGATGACAATAGTTTGCCAGATATTTGATAATTCAAAACTAGTAACTGTACTAGCTCACTTCTTCATGTTTGATCACAAAACTGCCATTTTTCACTAAATGTTATTTTTTCGCAATTTACCCAAGTTAATTATTAACTAAACAGATCGTCATTGCTTATTAGAATATTAAGCAGAATTTAATAAAACATGATTTCAAATTTATATGACAATTCGTTTTAAGGTTATGGGCATTTCTATGCAGCAGTCACTATTTCAAAAATTAGCGAATTTCGAAAATCTTGAATTTTTTAGAAATAAATCAGTATTGTTTCTTATGAATTTCAATGCTGAATTGAATAAAAATCAGTAGCAAATAAAAACATTAATTGTTTGAAAGTTATATGCATTTTTTTGAATTTCATCATATTTAAACAAATGTTTGTAACAACTAACTATTACTTTTATTATGCTCGGTATTATAAGTTATAAAGGAGATATTATACTCAACTTCTTTTAAAAATATTAATTCAAATCTTTCTCTCTTAGACATTTTCCTCACATAAAATTGCTCACAGCTTTAAAACAAATTCTCCTTATCAGCTTGTAATTAGTTTTATTCGATTGAGTGAAAAACGCACAAAAATTGGTATATAACTTTAAAATTTTAATTTAATAAATAACTTAATAATAAAACGATTGTTGATAACATTGATTAAAAAATATTAGAATAAGTATTTTTTTAAGAAACTATGATGTGATTGGCAATAACACAAGTCTGACCTACTGCACAGATGCTGATTCTTCAGAATCAGCTTCAAAAACTAATAAAAAAGCTATTAGTTTCATGAAGTCTGGCAAAAAGTTTAAAAATATAGACTAGGTTTATTGAGTTTAAAAATTTGTAAGAAAAAAAGAAAGAAAATCTAATTATCAAACTTATAAGTACCATAATGATACCAGATGTATAGGAAAATAAAAAGTGTTAAAATTTCATAATAAAATTGGAATTACATATTTGAATTTCTGTAAATGTTGTTAATGGTAGTACTGTTTTCAGTGTATTTTATTTTGTGGCTGTCGTACCTCTCTTGCTTTTTAGCTACAAGGATTGAATAGAAATGGCAGAAGTGGAAGGCCATTTTTCTGAAAAAGAAAATTAATTTCAGCCAGTTAATTTAAATCATGTGTAAAAAACAATTTCTAATATTTTAAAACCTGCCACTATTACTGTAAATATGACTTTCTTACTAATTCCTATTTCTTTCTTTCCAATACTTCCATGTTTCAACAGGTAGACGGAAACAGTATTTAAAATAATTTTGTTGGTTTGAAAAAAAAATGAAATTTTAGTTTTTAATAAAAGTAATTCGAATTTCAGCTGACTAATTATTTAAATTTGCAGCTTTATAGCTTTAAAAGTTCAAGCACTTTAGACAACTATCGTTTAAATATATGAGTTCCCACAAATAATTTTTCCTAACTGTAGAATTTGGAAGAAGAAGTGTTATTTCAAGATGATTTAATTCAACCTATTAAAATTATGGAAGAATTATGCATTTGAAACTTTCTTTTATAGCATAGCAATAGAAGCAATTACTGTCAAAGATTTAATATTAAAAACTTCAGGTTGATAAATGAAGATCTCTACTAATGAAAAATTGTAATGATATACATTATTCTTCATATAATATGTATAATATCTTTATATGCATGATATTCTTCATACAGTGAAGTTAAAGATTAACAAACTAGTTAGACCGTATAACACCTCACGTTTAGGAATTATTACCTTTATAATTATTAAAAAAAACAGCTTTAGGTTGAGCTACATAAGCCTGAAGTGTAAAATGTCGCATCTTAGGTTGATAATTTAATACTTCTAAAAATACAAAAATATACAATACTTAAAGTTACGAAATAATAACCTAAGGTAGAACAGGGAACATATGACGTTAATAAAAAATAACCTTTCCAAATGTCAAAAAATACGCTTGAGGTTGATTTATAATAACCAGAAGTGTAAAATGGCACACCTTAGGTAGATAAATAAATACCTCAACAACTATATAAATCTATACCTGAGGTTGAAAAATAACAACCTAAAGTAGAACATCGAACACCTCACGTTCATAAAAATCCAACTATTAGCTATCCAACTGTCAAAAAATACACTTGAGGTTGATTTGTAACAACCTAATGTGTAAAACGGCAAACCATAGGTTCATAAATAAATACCACTACAAGCATAAAATTAGATACTTGAGATTGAACATAATACACCTCACGTTAGTAAAAAATTACCTCTCCAACTGTCAAATAATACACCTGATGTAGATTTATAAGAGCCTGAAGTGTTAAATGAAACACCTTAGGTTGTTGAATAAATACTTTCACAAGTGTTAAAAAATATACTCCAGGTTGATAAGTAATAACCTAAGGTTGAAAATGAAACACCTTAATTGTAATAAATATCTACCTCTCCACAGATTCAAAATTAAACACCTCTGGTTGATAAATATATACCTCTGGAGGTATATTTAAGGTATATTTGAGGTTAATTTTGAGGTATTCATTTGCATCCTTTTCAACATCTCAAATAACAACCTCCCTTATACCTTTGAAAAATACCTCATTTATACCTCATTTTTTTCGTAAAGACTCACAATGGATTTAAATCTATCTAATTTTTCAAAAAAATGGGAGCTAAGCAATGCAAGCTCATACAGAGTTTATACTGCTCTCAGTACATTCTTTTAGAATCCTTGTTAAAAATGAAATAAAAAATAGTATGCGGAAGGTGAGAAGAAAAATAACAAAACAAGCTTGATGCTTTGAGGAATCAAGCGGTTAGTAAGAGACTTACTATAGGCAGATTCCATTACTTTTCCAATACTTTTGCACACCCAAAATTGGGTCAGCTATTCAACGACTGTTAAAAAATAAAATAAAATACTTTTGTATTAGCGTTCTCACATCACCTCTGCGCATCATAACGCAAACGTAGAGGAATTCGGTACCTGTATGCCATATTCTTACTGCTTGCCTCCTCAGTGTTTGTGCCGTTTGCGTTTCTAAATGAAAAGTTTTCAACTCCCAATGTCATTTTGCAATGCACGAAGCTAATTGGTAAAGTCGTAAGAATTTTGAAATCAATGATTTTCAGGTTAATTAAAATTCAGCTCACATAAGTTTAGGGTCCACAAAAAGTGTACGAATCGGTTTAAATTTGCTTAGACTTAATGAAATGAGCATTGTATTATTCCAGGGATTCGATTGCAGACCGGATAATTTAGGAGTAAATGATTTATTTTTTAATCAGTCTAAAAACATTTTTATGGGCTCATTGTGTTCAGCCTGTGATAAATAAGGTTGAATGAGCAATGAAAGTCAAAAATTTTTATTACCTTAAAAGTATCTGGTATAATTGCTATAAATCTAAAACGTGTTATGAGGATTTCATATAGATCGTTGAACAGTTCGTTGAATTTTGAGTTTATGACTATTAATGTTCAACTCCGTAGGCTTGTAATTTTGAATTCAATCCAGAAGACAAGGGAACTCCTGGATCAAGTATCGGGGGAAATTTGCCATCTTGGAATACTTTTTGATGGAACTTACCCACATTTGCATTAGATGGAGAGGCAAACCACGAAAACATCCCACGGTTAGTTTGACGGTAAGGAGACTCTAATACATGATCCGTCTACCCATGAGGATGATTTACGTCAGCACTGTAGTCTGTGCGAGCTGGGTGCAGAATTCGTATCAATCAGCAATCGCTGGGATTCGAACCCTGTTCACTTCATTTGAAGGCAACCGCTCTATCCCCTGAGCCACCACGGCTCTTGTTGCGGTGATTAGAAAGTACTGGGTATTTTTCCAATCAACTTTGCACAATACAAAATGGCGGTGACAGTTTACAAAGAATATAGACTTTAAGATTAGCCTATGACATTTTTATCCTCGAAATATTTATTATTTATTATAAAATCACGGATGTGAATCTGTTATCTCGGTACTAGGCAAACTATGAAGCAACTTTGTCACTACTTAGAACAAAGCACTGTATCATGGATGGATTCATAGATATCATGGATTTAGATTCATCATGGCAAAATGTTTTAGAAGAAGAAGAAAAAAATTTTTTTTTTAAATATAATGTAAACGGAGTATTTACCATTAAACTGGGTCTACTTCTTATTATTTTATTAAAAAAAAGTAAGTTTTTATTAACACCATAGTAATCTTCAATCCACATTAAACATTACTAATTTATGTCTATCAACCAACAAAAAATGTGTTTCGATCTACTTGCTTTATAAGACCAAATATTGTAAGGTTATTTTAAGATTTATAAGACCAGACAAGTTAATAAGTCTATATATATAAACAATAGATTTTAGCAGGTGAACAATTATTTTCATTTTTAAATTTTTTTATTACTTATTTGAGAATATTGTTTGTTTTTTCAGGTGAAATAAATATTTTTTCCCTATAATTTTCGGGCTTGAAGGAATATAATGCTGCTAACAAAAAGGCAGAACATCACTTTTTCAGACTAAGTTCATTCCTTTTATAGTAAATTTTTTTCATGTGAAATAAATACTTATAATACTTTTCTAGATTAAAAGAAACGTAATACTTCTTATAATTTCCATATCTCACTGCTTCAATTTTAATCGAAAATATATTTTATAAAATGGGAAATACACTAACCTGTCTTTACACCTGGAATTTGCGCGGAACTGTCGCAGCTTATGATGGTCAAAATAGAAAGTAGATTAATGAGCAGAAATATGATAGACATTCCGTCTGTAACTTTATGTGGCAACATTTCAAATCACTTGGTCGTTAAAAAAAGTTACAGAAAAGTATTTCCGTTCCTTACTCCAACGATTACTTATCTGACACGTGACGTCAATCTAAGACTATACAACTTTTGATAAACATTTCGTTCAAGTCTGTGCTATCGGATATTGTTTCGAGTCAGATAAAAGTAAGAAATCAATGTGAATAGAATCGATTTTGTTGTTTAAAGCAGAATAGCTACATTTAAATATTGAAATGTAACCTTGATAACTTAAAATACCATTTGTTTTACGGATTTTCGAATACCATGAGATTTTTTTATGTCAGTATGCAAGGTTTTAGACCAAAACTGAAAGTTTGAAAAACTTGGAATGATTAATTCCAAATTCAGTTTTTTTTTATTACGTCATTATTTGTCAATTTTCTTATTGGTGGGGTAAATATTGTAGTACTGAAATGACGAAACGTGATATACTAATTTTGGTTCCTGCAGTTTATACAGTCAGCAAAAAAAAAAAAAAAAGATATCACCCTGAATAACTTTCGTTCTAATGATCGGATATTCACAAAATAAGTGTCAATCTTAATGGTTCCTGGGGGTGATCTCAAATATGCTAATTAATTAGTGCTAACTATTAATTAAGTTACGAAATCAGACACAAAAACGTACTTTCTCCGAATAAACATATATATTTTTTTTTACATATTTGGATTCTTAACCTTCGAAATATAGGGGGTAGCCGCATTCTGGGAAATATGGTCCCCATAGTTTGGTCAGGAGAGCGATCCAAAGTTCGTACCCCTTAATTTTAATTTCACTCTTTACGTTTTTAGTCATATTTTTAAAACTAATAAAGCAATTCAAAGAAAATTTCACCCAGTCATAAAACTCATTTACCCAAAGATAATTTCATGAAAAAAATAATTTTTAATATTTGTTAATTATTTCATACTTTGAAATAATTAACTTCATACTTTGTCTTATGAATTTTCGGTTGCCATGAAATTTTCTTTTATGTCAGTATTCAAGGTTTTAGAGCAAAACTGATAATTTGAAAAACTTGGAATGATTAATTCCAAATTCAATTTTTTTTTTATTATTTCATTATTTTTTAATTTTATTATTAGTGGAGTAAATATTGCAGTACTGAAATGTCGAAAGGTCATATACTAATTTTGGTTTAATTTTGACGCAACTAAGCTTTCGTAACGGCGTTTTTAAATAATACACCTCTCATAAATCGATACTTCATTTATTCATCCTGTGTTAAGGTAAATGTGTAACCTATATAAGTTATTTTCATGAATAAATAATTTAATCCTGGTTGATATGAATCATAATAAAGTGAGTTCAGCTTTTAAAAAGCGTAAACCTTATTTCACTCTGTATCTGAGGAAAAGGGGCCGCATGGGACGCTTGGAATACATACCAAAATATCACAGCTACTTTTTGAGAATTGGCTGAATTCTCAAAACTGTAAAAAAGTTGTTGAAACCATTGGAGAGGTTTATAGTTTTGCTATGTGACTTTATTAGCATTGATGAATGTTTCAGTGATGCTAGAAAACATGTAAAAAATACAAGGATATATTTTGTGCTACGTAAACTAAAGTGAAAAACAACGCGAATTAAGCAAAAATTAATTATAGAAATGGGCATATTACAGTTTCGGTTGTCTATACAAGAGCCTTCCTCAAAAGAAGGGTTTTTTTAAAATTAAGATTAAGGGTTAGATGTTTTTTAACATTTTGTTATAAAAAATTATTATTTGCATACTGTATATTTGCGTCTTTCAAAACTTTGTAAGTTTGCTGAAAACGCAAAAATTATTTCAATGTGCATTTTCAGAAATCTAGAATATAATGATGTATTTTTAGAATTAAAAAAAAGAAAAAAACAGTAGATTTAGGAAAATTTTATAAATAATGCAAGAAAGATCATAGATTAAATCAAAACTTTTATTAATGTCTTGTAATAAACAATCAGTAAATATTTTTAATACATTTCAGAAAATGAAATTAAAAAAAAAATTAAAAAATTCAATCCTAATTATGAAATTAAAAGAAAATCAATCAAAAAAATACTAATTCCTGAACAAAAAGTCTCAAAATTATTTAAGAGAGTGTATTACTTAGTATCCATAATTTAAATATGCTTCAGAAAGGGTCAATTCGGCATCCTTCGACCGGTACAACATTTCGGCCATTTGTAGGGGTTGAGGAAGGTGTTTTGCATTTGTTTCCACAATTTTCTCTGCAGCATAATTCGCCTCTGGGACAATCATCATTTGAACAGCAGCGGTTGATTGATCTGATACAAACAATGGTCTCTCTTGTTGGGCAATAACCTGCAAATGAATAGACGAATTTTGAATGGGAATAAGAAACTCAACACTCTCAGGGATCACTGGAGGGAGCTATAGTGATATAGTTTAATTACGAGGTTATATGATCTGAAAATTTGTATATGTGGCGTAACTACCACTACAAATATTAAATACCAATTCACTAGTATATAAGACAAGTTAACTTGATTCTATCTTAAGGTACCTATATATAGAAGAAGGTTGACATAGTCGATAATTACATCCCATTAATGATGACCTCCGGTCGGACGTGATATGTACTCGCCAACACCGATGAATGGTTCTCGTTAAATAGTTGATTTGGTCATAAATTAGTGTTAAAAAATCCGGTTAAGTAAATACAAATCTCCCGACAAAAAAATAAAAAAATAATGAGTGCTAAAATGAATTAATTAAATATACGGCATAATTAAATAATTCAACTAGTAGCATACCTTCATCGAATTCAATCAAAGATTAAATTCTAGAAAGGGAATAGTGTGGCTATATACATACAAATATAAAATATCAATTTACTGGTATATAAGACACGTTAACTTAATTTAATATTGAGGTACCTTTTGATAGATGAAGTTTGACGTAGTCGTTCACTAAATTCCCTTATATACACGCTTTGAATGCCATTTGTAGTTACAATATTTTAAATTTTCCTAACAGATTATACGTGTTATTTGCTTTCTTATTCCAGCATATTTTTTCAATTATTATCTTTTCTTAACCAATAATTAATTATTTATTTTTTTAAAAAAAAAGTTGAAGGTGGAGCTTTGAGGTGATTAAAGACTAAAACTAAGTAATTTCGAAACCAAGGTGTTAATCTAGCCCAAGGGTTTCCAACTTACATGAGGCCGGGGGCCACAATTAAAAACACAAATCAAATGGCGGGCCGCAACTTTATCAAAATGTTATGTAGGACACTTTTATGTTTGAAGGAACATTAAATATTACTATCAGATTTTTACCAAGTTGTACAAAACAAAAGTATTGAATTACAAATTAAAATACGAAGTTGATTTTTAATAATATTTAATTGCATATTAAAAAATTCGGGCTACAATAACTTTAATGTGCACCCATGTATTAAACAATTAATGTGCAACAGATATCTAATTTTTAAGACATAAAGCTTTAAAAAATGTTGGTATTAAAACTTATATAGTAACACACTAAATGTTCAATGAGAAAACTGAGGTTTGTCTGCTGCAACCACCAGAGAATAGATATTTACATTTTAAATTTAAAATTTACAAATGTGTGTGTAAATATTTTCGTCCAAAATGAGTGGTTTCAAAAAGTTAAATCGGAGATAGATATTTTCGGAGCAGATTTAATATTTTGCTAACCAAAAAGTGCCACGAGCTCATTTACTGGCATTTGAAGGGAGAATTGTTTGACCCAAGTTTCAATTTTCAGCAAGAGAATGTATTCATTTTAATTGAAAAATCTTCAAGGAGTTTTTTTTTTCCTTTTTTTTTTGATGATAGATAACATATCATGAATCATCAGCCCCTTATCATGTCCGCAATCTCCAAGAAAACTTAAAGGGCTATCTGCTATCTTTAGTAAAGCTGCATATACAAAAAAAAAAGAAAAAAAAAAAAAAAAAAAGAAGCTGTTTCAGTCTGTGGCTGAATTGAAATTTGCCACCATAGAAACCTGACATATTATTGATAATATTGACCTCTATGGTTTGGTAACTAGTACACAACGTCGTACATTTCAATTGAAATATAAACATGACGTATATATGATCTATAATCAGAAGTGGCTTTATTTCGATAGGACACATTATTTCCTCCTTTTTTATTTATTCGATATTTTTTCCCTATCCAGGTACAGCAGGAGGTGAGGAGTTACTCCTTGTAAATATGTGGTTTATATGACTTCCTTAATATATATGTTTGATTCTCCTAGGTTTTCTTAGCGTTCAGTTATAGCGTTCAGTTATAGCACAAAATAAAGGTAGCTTTATTTAAGTGGGAAACATTCGCAGATGTTGATGATCATTCTAAATGATCCCAAACATACTTTAAAATTATTAAAAAAAAAGACTCCTTAAAATAAAAAAAATTCCTTATAAACAAGGCTTTCAGTCTTAAAACGACACTCCTTAATCTTATCCATAGATTACAAAAGCAACAAACGAGAGGAAAACTGTATTGATACTTTTATTAGTTTATATATAAATTCATTAAAAGATGTACAAAAGAAAAGGTAAAATTATTTAAAATTTTCTTGTCTAGATTTATAAAATACCAAAAAAAAAAAAAAATGTACAAGAAATACTGTAAAATGTAAAAGAAAATATGAACTAAAAGATGAAAAATATCTCCAAAATCTGAAAAAATGTCCTACAGTATCTAAAAAAGGCATTCTAAAAAGAAAAAAAAATATCCAAGAATGCAAAATTGAAGATAACATTAATGAAATAACAATAATATGTAAGTGTCATGAAAATTCGATCTTCATAATGACACAATTATCAACAAAAATGTCTTATTGGATTAAAATAAGCGAAGATTTAAAATTTTAACAGATTTAATATTTTACTAACATTTTAAAAATAATTGAAGTAAAATGTAATGGAGAAAGCTGAACTTTACTTACTCGAATTAACAGTACATATTGCTATTAAGAAAACTGCTATTAATATTAACTTCTTCATTTTTTCTATTGATAAAATAAAATAATAAATGAATTATCAGAAATTATGCTAAACGACAGCACAATAA